CTTAGTAGTTGGTTGCTATGGTTTCCGATTTATGGCGACCCTATCACAGGGTTTTCTTGGCAAGATTTGTTCTGAGGAGGTTTGTAATTGCCGTCCTCTGAGGCTGAGAGTGTGTGACTTGCCCAAGGTCACCCAGTGGGTTTCCATGGCCAAAATGGGAATCGAACCCTAGTCTCCAGTCATAATTCAACAACACTCAAACCACTACACCAGGGGTAGGCAACCTTTCCCCTTTAAGGGCCGAGGGACTTCAGCTCCCAGAATCCCAGGAGCTATTGGCCAACATGGGACTATTGGCCAACATGGCTGAGGCTTCTGGGAACTGAAGTCCCGCGGCCCTTAAAGGGGAAAGGTTGCCTACCCCTGCACTACACTATGCTGGCTCTCACGAGGCTGAGAGAGTATGACTTGTTAATTGTGGCTGTCTACCTCCGAGTAATTTTTCTTTTACATATTGCAACCCTGGGGCTCCAGAGTCCTAGTCCATCATCACTCAAAGCACTACACCACGCTGGCTGACATGAGGCTGAGAGAGAGTGACTTATTAGCTGTTGCTGTCTGCCTCCAAGTCATTTTTTTAAACTTATGGCGACCCTAAGGCTCCAGAGTGGTAGCCGAACACTCAAACCACTACACCACGAGGCTGAGAGAGTGTGACTTATTGCTGCTGTGTGCCTCTGGGACATATTTATTTATTCATTTATTTATTTATTTATTATGGCGACCCTAAGGCCCCAGAGTGGTAGCCTGTCCCTCAAACCACTACACCCCGAGGCTGAGAGAGTGTGACTTACTAGTTGTTCCTGTGTGCCTCCGGGTCTTTTTTATTTATGTATTTATGTATGTATTTATATTTTAACTTATGGCGACCCTAAGTCCCCAGAGTGGTAGCCCAACACTCAAAGCACCTTTGATCAGAGCCAGCTACCCCAGGGCTTCCTTCCCGAGGCTGTGGGAGCTGGGTGCGAATCCCCTGCCTCCGCTCTCCCCACTCTGCCTGCCTGCCTGCCTTCTCCCCCACTCACCCTTTCACCACGAAGAAGGGGTCCTCCAGCGACATCCTGGCCCATAGGGAAGAAGTCCGGGGGCCAAGCGAGCTTCCTTCCTCTGAGCTCCGGGATTTCTCAGAATAAAGTCATTGCAAAAGGACGAGAGGAGAGGAAAAGAAAAGAAAGACAAAGGAGGAAGAGAAGTTCCCTCCCCCGGTGGCCTCCTGGCCCCTCCCTCCTCTTTTTGGGCTTCCACTTCTCCTCCTTCTTGGCTGGCCTGGCTGCCACCTTCTGAGGGAGTAATCTTCCTTGCCTGAGGAAACCCTGTCAGAGAGCAGGGTTCGAATCCTAGCTTACACTGGGTGACTTTGGGCCAGGCACACTCTCTCAGCCTCAGTGGCAAAGCGCCTTTGAACAAATCTTGCCTTAGGGAAGCGACTTGAAGGCACACAACAACAACAACAACGACAGTAACAAGAGGAAAACCCTGTTAAATCCTTGGGGTTGTAGTTGGAAAGTGGAAAGGAAACCTGGAGGCACACACATCCCTATCCCTATCCCTATCCCTCGCTTCAGGTTCCAGACAGAAATAAGGCTGCGTCTGCACTTTTGAAATAATCCACCGCTTTTAACTGCCTTGGGATCCTGGGATTTGTAGTTCGGTGTGGCCCCAGAGCTCTCTTGACAGGGAGGGCTAAATGTCCCACAAAACTAAACATCCCAGAACCCCATAGCATTGAGCCAAGGCACTTAAAACGGCGTCAAAATGTCTGCAGTGCCCTACTCGGTTGTGCAATCCCGCCTCCTCCGCCTCCTCCTCTAGTTCATCCCTTTATTTCCCTCTCACAAACACAGGGCCTTTACAGACTTCCAGAAATAATCCAGGTCGAAGCCACTTTAACTGTGCTGGCTCAGTGCTAGGGAATCATGGGAACTGTAGTTTATTGTGGCACCGGAGCTCTCTGACAGAGAAGGCTCAATGTCCCAGAAAAAACTACAGTTCCCATGATTCCCTAGCACTGAGCCAGGGCAGTTAAAGTGGCCTCAAGATGGATTATTTCTGGAAGTCTGTTCAGGCCCCACACACATTCTTCTTCCACACTGCAGAAACAATCCGGTTTGACACCACTTTAACTATCGTGGCTTAATGTTGTGGGAATTCTGGGGACGGCAGTTTCAACAAACGACCGTTTCTCAAAATTCCTAGCATGGAGCCAGGGCTGTTAAAGCGGTGTGAAACTGGATTATATCGGCAGTGCGGACACAGCCCAAATTGCTATATGTCATGCTGGAGGCCTGGGCTTCTCCCTGGTCTTTGGGCCTAAACCCAGCGCCTCGGAGGCCGGAATCCCTCCTGAGGGCAGCTGAGGGAGCGGCGCCTCTAAAGCAGGAAGAGAAGTAGGCCGCCGCCCTTTCGAGTCCCGGCTTGTTTCGAGGTGGAGCCCGGGGCGTCAGGGCCTAAA